TCGCCGCGCGCGGCCTGACCTGCGCCCGTCGCCTCTCGTCAGGTCCCTTCTCCCGACCGTAATTCCCGCCTGAACGTTTTCTCTTCTAGGTTTCACTGCCTCGCATCGTATTGGCCAGCATGTGGTTTGGGTCGGTTTGTTTTCTCTGATTCTCCTTTTCTCAGTTCGGGGCCTGGTGGGAGGTGTGAGTTTAGAAAGGATGTGGAAGTTTAATATTCCCTCTGGGTTAGGTCTACGTCGGTTGTGAGGTGGCAGCATCTGCCCGCCAGGCTGCGGGGCACCGCTTCGGAGAGCAGGAAGGGTCTTCCTCCTCTCGCCTCCCTGGTGTGAAGGTTGAGGAGGGATGAATCGGCTCTGGCAGGCAACGAGCTATTCTGAGACTTAGCGTGGAACGTAACCGCAGAAGAAGGAATTTGCTTTGTGTGGTGCTCACCATCTGCCTCAGTGTAAAATATTACAAGAGGTCACCTGCACTGAAGGTAGAATTCCTGATACATTCGTGTTTTATCTTAACAGCAGGAGTCACGTGAAGCTTTTTATTTTTCCCTCTGAAATTCTGATGTCCAGAGGAAGTGACAGTGAATAAGCTCTGCATTTTTATCTAGCATTGTCATATTACACAGGTTTTTCGGCTGAGGTCAGGGCAGAAGGATTTGCATATCAAATTGGAATTGCACTTAAAGGTTTTAAATCCATTGAAACAGAGAACTTCTAATACCCCTTTGAGAGAGACCCTCATTCACTTCTGTTCTCACTATCAGCTCCAGAGACGGTGGACAGATTGTAAACAAATCTCTGATTTATAAATCATCTGGAATCTAAGCTCTTTAGTGCAAAGAGTGCTTTTCTAGTACAGTATTAAGGATACTGACTTCATATAGCAGATTATTCATTGTAATTATCTGTCTCTTTCTCGTGTCATCTAATCTATTTTAGTGTTTCCATGGGCCTGCTCAGGTCCTCCAAGTACACCTATATCTTATTTTATTCCCATCTTTGGACAACGTAGATTCCAGTAAACCATTCTAGTGCAATGTGTGTATGTGAGCCTGAATTAAAATACCAGGTTCAGCTTGCTGGACTCCTTCTTCTAAAAACATGTTGAGGTTGAATTTGTGTGCAGGTACAAAAGTTCTAGCTAAGACTATTCTGTATCATGGATGTAAGTAGCGGACCAAATCCTGATCTCATACTATTTTGATCCATACCGCTAGGATCCTTTTCTAATTTTCTGTTCCTGATTAGGATGCTACATTCTGCAGGTACAGCCTCTGCTCTTTTTAGGTTGCGAAAACTTATATTTGGTCTTTGTAGCTTTTGGTTCTGAAGTCTCCTTCTTGGCAGCCTTTCTTGTGCCTATACCTACCCTTTATACGTTTGATGCGAATCTCATTACCCAAATCGTTTTCTGTACCTGTTGGTCTGACTAAGCTGAATGTAATTGTTAAATCTTTCTGCCGCTTCCTCTTTCGCTACTCTGAAGTTTTATGGAAGTGCCACGCAGGATTATGCTTCTCTGTTCATCCAATTTCCTCTCTCTTTCCAGGGAGCTCGCTAAGCCCTCCATTTGCCCAGAGCTGGCAGGTTTATGATCCAGTCCTCCCTCTTCTTCCACAACCACCTTTGCACTTATTCCCAAGCTCTCTCTAACTGAAACGTAGGCTTCTCCTTATTCAGCATTCAAATCCTTGCTCAAGAGTCTTACTTGTCCATCAGGAAGCTTATAACAGATTAGCCAACTGATTGTCTCTGTGAACAGTAGTCTTATTTAAAAATCGTAACAATCAACTATATTGAATTTCCATGTTTAAAATGGATAACCATTGATAGAATTGTAAAATCCTTCCGAAAAATGACAATTGTAAGCGCTGACAGGTTGGGCCGTTTGGGGTGATTTGTTTTACCCAAACAAACATACTCTGGAATTGTCCATGCCATTCAAGCTATCAGAGCGGCTGCTCTGGTATCTTTGTAATAACATAGCTGTATGTTTATTTATGTTACTTCAAGAAATCTAGTCTTGCTGATGTGCGCTACAGTGCATCTGGTTTCGTGGGTTTCGTGCCTTGCGTAGAAAATGTGCTTGGCAGTTGTTCCATGGTTTTGAAAATGCCCTCCACATTTGGGAGTGTTTATGCAGCCCATTTTAAGTCCTCTTTCCTTTTTTTGTTCATTCGCAGAACAAGCAATTAGCAGTTTGTATCCAGAAAGAACAGCAGAAAATAGTAGAAGAGAATTTTTGTTTTACTGCTCTTTTTTAGCTACTCAGAACTTTCTTCAGTTCTTGTTTCATGATTTGAAACTTTTCATGCCTGGTCCCCGCTTGCACATGGTGAGTGAGTATGTTGTACTCTTGGTATTGTTTGTATATAACATCACGCTCATGAAGTCAGATTTAACAAAAATATGAAATAAAGATGCCCGATGTGGTAGTTTTAATGCATTGAGAGAAATAGTGAAAAATGGTGTGTAGAGAAACCTTTATTTCTTGTTTAGATTAAATGCTTATTGCGCAGAAAATAAAGCATGTTGCATCAATAAATGCAGTTACATCAAATAATGAAGTTGTATCAATACATTAAATTGGGTCATTTTGACAATGGGATAAACATAGCCTTAGCAAAGTGAAAAACTTCCTAGGAAGGAGTAGTTGTTCTTTCACAACTGACGATGTGAAAGAACAGCTCCCCTCAGCTTGTGAGCTGTTGCAAACAAGTGCGTGTCTACAGTTCATAAATATTGCTTCTAAAGGAAAAGAATATTAATCTAATGTTATTACTCATGCTCTGTTTTCTTTCTGATTTCTCTCAGAGAATTAAAATAATTTGTCAGCTTCATTTTCACATTCTTGCTGCTGTGGTGTTTTTGTCAGAGGAAGGGTTATTTAGCTGTTTTAGGTAAAACATTTTAACTGTATTTCTTTATTAAACTATCTTTCAGCTCTGAAAGCTTTTTTTTTTAAAGAAAAAATACAACGTTTAAATTGAGAGTGTGTCTTGACTTTGCTTGCTACAAACATTCACTAAAGGTCTGATTCTCTTTGCCGTTAGCACTGTTCTGTGATTGTAAAATTCCACTGACGGATATTCCGTTATCTATAAGCCCTAGATACAGAGCGTGCTGTTACATCTCAGATTGTTCCAGAGTGTATTCCATATTCAGATTATCATATTGGAGAGAGTATGTTGAATGGTATAGAAAAGGTAGTTTAAGAATTCATTTTCCCTATTTATAGAATATAAGACAAGTAGGTATGCGATGAAATTGAAAGCAAACTCGAGACTGTTAAAAAAAAATTTTTTTTCTTGACGTTTATAATTAGACTGAAGGAATTACTCGACAGAGTGTTCTGGAAGCACAGAACTTGACTTAGATCCAAAAACACTTTTGTAAATCATACAAGTATCCAGAAGTATGCAAAACTTTGCAAATACTAAGGAGACAATTTTGGGGAGCTTTGGAAAAGATGCAAATGTTTATCCTTCATGGCTTAAGCCAGTATTTGAGAAATAAGGCTCCAAGGAAACTTTCTAGGAGAGCAGGTTATTCTGCATCTGCCTACAGTGGAATTTATTGCACTTTTCTTTTGAAGCATCTGGCGTTACAGGCAGTGATGGGAGAAAAGATTAGTGGATCATGATGGATTAGATCTGTGGCTATTCAAATGCTTAAAAAGTGTAATTCTTTAAGTGTACATGTGCAGTCTGAGTTTTGGCATTTTCTAATGTTTGTGCACTTAACCATGAGCTTTAGATATTTTATTAATAACCCTGAGGAAAAAAAAGATCTGGAAAAGTCTCATCTAGCTGTCTTTGTTTGTCCTTTTTCTTTCTATCTGGTTATGTTTCTTCATCCAGCTCTCCTTCCTGAATGTTCTCTCCTCTTTG